ATTAACATTATTTTTTTTAACTTTTTTTTGTTTTATTTAATTCTAATCTTTTTCAAACATTTTCTTTTTTATTTATTTTGTAAAAACTTTAAAACTTTTTTTTTTAAACAATAAAATTTATTTAAACAATAAAATAAAAAAAACCTTTATTATTATTATCATTATTTTATTAATTAATAAAAAAAAAAAAATTCTTTTTTATTTATTAATCGATAATTATTAAAATCGTACACGACAGCGTCATCACATACTCCTAAAGCAAAATCGATTAATTTTTTTTTTAAAAATTAATTAAATGACGTCATTATTACTCGAGTGATGATGATAATGATTGTTGTTTGTTAAAAAAATTTCCCCCCCCCCCTCCCGAAAACCGGAGATTTGGGGTTTTAAATTTTATTTTTTGAAAAAACTTTCACTTGGTGAATAAAGAAAGTTTAGAAAAAGGTGAAAAAAAAAAAAAATAATTAACGGAAATGAATGTTGTTGTATTCAAACAAACAAACAGGAAAAAGTTAAAAGGAATAACATAACCCTTTTGTTTGTTTTTGTCCGTTTGTCGAACGAAAGGCTTCCATATATATATAAAACAATCACAAACATACTTTATTTTCATATAAAAAAAAAAAGAAAATTTTTTTTTTTTTTAAATTAAAAACGGACGATTGTTGGTTTTGTCACGTGAAACGACAAAATCATGTTAAATATAATTTATTTCCTTACACGTACGTTTGTGTCAGTCCGTTTGTCGTTTGTCGTTTGTCTTTTTTTTTTTTTAAAATGATTTATGTTTTTTAACTCTCAATTATTTAGAGAGAATTTCAAGTTGTTGACTTGGTAAAAATTACCGGATATTTTTTTTTTTTTCCATCAGAAATGATTTGACCATCCGGAATAAAAACCCTGGGAAAATCCTCACCCCCCCAAAAAATAATAATAATAATAATAAAATATTTTTTACACACACACGCATTCCAATAATTATATTCAAATATTCATGTAATAAAATATTTTTTTCTCTCTCCCTCCTCCCTTTTTTAATTAAATTTTATGTATGTTTATTAATTAATATTTAAAAAAATAAATAAATTTTCTCTCTCTTCACGTTTTTTATTAATTTTTATAATAATAATAATAATAATAATAATATATTATTAATATCAAATAACTCATTTGAAAAAAATAAATAAATAATTTTTTTAATATAAAATTTATTTAAGTTGTTAATTAAATTAATTAACCTTTTCCACCCACGTTATCATTATCAATAATTTGTCGTTTTATTTATTATTATTATTATTATTATTATTATTATTATTATTATTATTATTATTATCATTATTAATATTAATAATCATCGCTTTCGTGTATTTATTATAAATATTTGCGGGTTTTCCCCCGTTTGAAAATCATTTTTTTTGATTAAATTAAATTAAAATTTTTTTTTTTTTTTAGTTAAATTAAATTTAAATACTAAAACGTCGTTTTTAATTTCCCCCACCCATCCCACCCCCGCTTTTACCCCTCCCCTCGAGGCGAATAACTGTCTTTACCGATTGTAAAATTTTCTAATTTAAATTCTTTACTATTATTTTTTTTTTTTTTGAGTAATTTGTTAATTTAATTTAAATTTTTTTTTATAATTTCTCACTTAGTATATATTTATATTGTTTGTTTAGTATTTAAAAGAATTATATTCAAACACATAAATATAAATGTATATATAATATATTTTAATTATCTTCAACGAGATTCACTTTAAATTTTAAAGTTTTCTTTTATAAAATGTGTAAAATCCTCTTAAAATTCTTCTTCTCCCTTTTTTTTTTTTTTAGAAAACAACTTGCAACCCTTCCCCCCATTTTTTTTTTAAATTTACGACTTTTTTCCTTATATTATTTTTTTCTTCTTCTTATTATTATTATTATTTTATTAAAAAATAATTATTATTATATCGTTCTCGAAAAAAAAAACATACGGAGATAATTAAAAAATATTATAACACGATTAAAAGGTCAAAATTTCAACCTTTTCTCTCTCTCTCTCTCTCTCTTTTTTTCCGAGTTATAAAATTTAATTTTCTATTTTTTTTTTTTTTTTATGATTAAAACAAGTATTATTATTATTATTTAATTTATAAAAACTCGTCTTGAAAAAAAAATAAAAATAAAAAAATAAAAAATAGAAAAAAATTAATATTTATGAATTTCTCCATTGAGAATTGTTTTTGTTATTATCAGGGTTAAAAAAAATTACATTTGAATATAATAATAATAATAATAATAATAATAATAATAATAGTTAATTTTGATAAGTCGTCTGTCGCTGTTGTATACAAAAAAATGTTTTATGATTAAGCAAATAATAATAATAATAAAAAACTCGAAACATTTTTTTTTTAAATTTCATTTCCTATCGTTCTCGAAAAAAAAAAAAAAAAATTTTTTTTTTAGGTTTTTGTTTTAAACTAACCGACTAAAATTTAGTTTTACTAACAGGAAACAAGGAAGGAAATCCTTTTGTTAAACGTGAGAGAGAGAGAGAGAGAGAGAGAAAATTGGGATATATAATTCAAAAATCGAAAATTTCAACTCGTCTCTTTTTTTTTTTTCCTTTTCTATTTTTCATATAAATTTTGATAATGTTATCAGTTGGATTAATGTTTTATTACGAATAATATTTTCTCTCTCTCTTTCTCTCTCTCTCTCTCTCACTCGTAAATAAGTTTTTAATTACGAATTATTATAATAAATGTTGTCGTTACGAAACCTTTTCACATATACAAAACTTTAAATTTTGCTGTCGTTTTTCTTTTCTTTTCTTTCTTTCTATTTTATTTTAGACATTTTTTTTTTTCGAAAAAACGCATGAAATTAGTCAGAGACATGTTTTTTTAATATTAATTTAACAAAAAAAAATTTCAAACGTTAATAATAATAATAATAATTTTCTAGAAAAAAAACCCTCTCATCGTTCAGTCATAAATCAATTAATAAAAATTATAAACGAGTACGTTTGTAATTGTTTTTATTATTATTATTATTATTATTTAACTTCCAAGTCAATTGAAATTTTTTTTTTTTTTTAAAACACATGGAATTGACGAACATTTGACGTTAATGTTTTTTTTTTTTTTTTTTTTGAAAAAAACGTTAAATTCCCTAACGAATCAAAGATGGAAACAATATGGAAACTTTTTGTTTATGTTTTTATTTAAATTTAGTCATCGTTATATCGAAATTATAAAAAAAAATTTTTTATTTATCAAAATTCAAAACGAAAAAAAAAAAAGAATTTTTAACTCATTATTATTATTATCATTAAAATTTTTTAAAGGTAATTTTTTCCCCCCCCCTTCGTTTTTAGTAAAATAGTAGATAATAATAATAATAATTGTATGTTTTTTTTACCCTATTCGATTAAAATTTGTTTTTTATTTTTATTATTATTATTATTATTATATTTAACTAAGGCACCAATCCTAAGTTGCCTCATCCTGTTATTACGATTGAATTGACAACAAAATAATAATAATAATAATAATAATAATAATAATAATAATAATAATAATAATAATAATAATAATAATAATAATAATAATAATAATAATGATATCGATTTTAATAAAGAATTACATCGAAGAACGTAAATGACGGTTTTGCTTTCATAAAAACCTGTGGAGTTTTATTATTAAAATACTCTTCCCCCTTTCCCCCGCATGCCCCGGAGGAATTTCATAGAATTTCTATGATTTCCCCCCCCCAAAAAAAAAAAACGATGACGTCAACATTTTTCTGACGTATAATTTTTTACTTAATCTTATGTAGGAAATTAAATTTTGATACAATCGAGTTGATAAAAAAAAATGTAGTAAATTGAATTTTGTTTTGTTTTGTTTTTAATGACCCGTAGAATATTTAAACAATAATAATAATAATAATAATAATAATAATAATAATAATAGTAATAATAATAAAAGGGCATTAGGTCACATTAAAAAATTTTTTTATAAATATATAATTTTTCGGTTGGAAAAATAACAAAATTAATTTTGTCGTTTGTTTGTCGTTTGTTCGCGAACAAATCAACGAGAACACACTTTCAAAAGATTAATTTTGATTAAGGGATAGAAATTATTTGTTTGTTTGTTTGTTTCGTAGAAAATGACCCAGAATGCGGAAAACCGTATTGAATGCGCTTTGACGACCATGATAAACGACGCGGATAAAATACATTTGAGAAAACTTCAAGCGGAAATGCACAAATGCGCGGCAAAATGTTGCGAAAACAAAGAATGTTCTATAGAACTCGTACACGCGTGTATAGAAGTTTGCAGTCAGAATTTAAAAAGAGCACAAAAAGTTGTACAAAGCGAAATAATACATTTTCAAAAACGTCTTCAAGAATGCGTATTCACGTGTAATAACGACGTTAAAAAAAATATCGAAAAAGAACCGATTGATTTACAAATCAAAGCCTACGAATCAGGATTTGATAATTGCGTTGAAAAATGCGTTGATACCAACATAGCACTAATACCATTCATAATGAAAAAAATGAAAGAAATTTTAGCGAAAAAACCGCAGGATTTAAATGAAAATAAAAATTAAAAAAAACTCATAATTATTATAAATACATCGGTCATTATTATTATTATTATTATTATTATTATTATTATTAATAACGATTTAAATAAAATAGTAAACTGTAATCGAATAAAATGAGGGGAAAAAAAATGGTCAAAAACGATCGTTAAAAACAAATTTTCTTTTTTTTTTTTTTTTTTTTTAAAATTATTACGTGTGGAAAATTTTTGTACGAAAATTCGTAATTATTTATTAACGTCGTAAATTTTTTTATTTGACATGTAAATTTAAATAAATAAATAAAAATAAATTTGTAAAAAAATTTTTTCTTTTATTTGGAGGTCTTAACGACTCGATATTAATCAACTTTTTGAATATTTTCCTATGTGTAAATAACAAATAACGCGTAATCTTCTTCCACGACTTTTTTTTTTTTAATAGTAATTGTTATCATTTTATTATCATAATTTTTAAAAAATATGAAAATTACATTTATTTAACGTAAAAACAAAGAAGAATCATTTATAAAAATTTTTTATTTGAGAACCTTGAATGTGACAACCTTTAATAGTCTTGTAATATATTACGAAACATTTTATCACAAAAGAAAAATGAGGTTGATACACACGCACACGCACACGCACACGCACATTCAGATTTGACATTTGAATGGGGGGAAATAAAAAAATAAATAAATAAATAAGCAAACTTAAACAAACTTAATATTTCGTCGCGTACGTAATCTCGAAAACACAAAAAAGAAAAATTTTAAAAACAACCTCATTCCCGAATGTTAAACATCGTTAAAACAATCAACTAACAAGAAAAATGAAAAAGAAAATTCGTAAAAATTTTTTTTTCGTTTGAATTATTTAATTTAATTTTTTTATAAGAAAAATTTTACATACGTGGGGATAAAAAAAACGAAATGATAATAATAATAATTGTAATTTTAACACGTGATAATAATTTAATAATAATAATAATAATAATATGAGAAAAAAAAATTATTTCTTATATATATATAAAAAAAATAAAATGAATTTAAAACGAAAAAAAATCATTTTCATTTTTTTTTTCTTAACGGTTCCATTTGGAAAATAATAATAATAATAATAAAAACCTTATGGAAAAATAGGATTTTCCTCCACCCCCCCACCCCCTTTTTTTTTCATTTTGAAATAATAAATTGCTGACGAGGAAAAATTTTTATATATATACTTTCCCAAGCACTGTCGTGTTGTTTCAAATTTACTGTTGTCGATAAAAATTTTTTTTTTTTTTCCGTCCCCCCCATCTTATTTTACGAATGATTATTTGTTAAAAACTTGTATTATTATTATTATTATTATTTGTAGTTTTCAATTTGTAGAAAAATGAAAAAATAATAATAATAATAATAAAAATGATTTTCAATCAAACATTTGTACGTTTAAATTATTTATTTCGTGATGTGATATTTTTTTTTTATGGCTCCCCCCCGACAGCGATTTTTCCTCCTGAAGATGAAAACTTATTTATTTATTGTTTTTGATAAGAAAGGAAAAAAACAATCGTATCGTGTGATAAAAGTAATAACACGTGATTTTTTCGAAATACCTTAAATTTTTTTTTTTTTATTGTTTATTTTGTGACCTTCCTTCAGAGGAAAAAATTATCGTTTAAATGATTTTTTTTTAATTACGTAATAAAATAATAATAATAATAATAATAATAACGTACGAAAAATTACGTAATGAAAATTTTTTTAAAAATGCCGCGGATTATTTTATATTATAGATTTAATTAAAAATTTATTATTAGGAAAATTTATTTTCCGACACAATTTTCACCGCGTAATTCATTCACCGACACGAATTCATTATTTTTTCTCTCGCAAATTTCCATCGTGAATTTTTCTTAATTCGCGATTTTATTCGTTTTAAAAAATTTTTAAATACTCGTATACGACAGTAATAATAATAATAATAATAATAATAATAATAATAATAATAATAATATTAACGACCCGACAGGAAATACAAATAAATAAATAAAAATAAAAATTTATCATTTTTTTAGAATTTCCACTCTATTGTGTTTTGTTTTATAAATTTAAATTTACAGAAAAAAAAAAAATTTTTTCTCGATATTAAAACGTTACTTTCCCCCCCCTTTTTTTCACGGGGGGAAGGGAAAAATTATTTATTTATTTCCTGTTTAAAAAAAAAATAATAATAATAATAAATTTAAATTTATATTTTCCACTTTTTAAAAGTTTTTTTTTGTTTTTTGTTCTGTTTTTTGTTTTTCTTTAAAATAATTTTCTTATTATATTAACAATAACGATAATAATAATAATAATAATAATACTAAAAAAAAAAAAATTAAACAATAAAACTTATTTACAAAAGTTTAAATAAAAATTTAATTAAATTTATTATTTAACGAAAAATATTATGTACAATTGAAAACTTTACATTGTTTTGTGTAAAAATTTTTTTATTTTTATTTAAATAAAATTGTTTTATTTAAAACATTAACATTTTAATTATTATTATTATTATTATTTTATTATATTAAAAAGAATTTATTTTTTTTAAAACTTTTAATTTTAATTTCATTATTATTTTATCGTTGTCGTCATTTCTACGATTTCAATTATTAAACAATAAAAAAAAACGTTCAAGTAATTAATTTTTATTATTATTATGTTTAAAACGAGAATAATAATGATAATTATTCGCATTTATTTAACGCTTTTCTTAAGGAAAAGAAAATTTTTTTTTTTTTTAAATGGAGGCGACGACGATTCGTCGTCTGCTACGCGATGACGTTTTAAGAAGAAAATGTGAAAATTTTTCAGGTCGGTGGTATTTTAAGGATTTAAATTTCGAAAAAAAATTTTTTTTTTTTTGTGGGGGGGGGGGGGAGATTTGAAATAAAGCAGAAAGCAAAAAATTTGATTTTTTTCGCTTTGAAAAACACAAAAATTGAAATTAAGTCTTATTTTAGATAAAAAAAAAAAAAAGAAAATTCGTTTAAGGTTTAAAAGACGTTAAGAAGAAAAATGATTTTCTTTTTTTTTTTCCTTTCTTAAGATTTTAGAAAAAGAGAAAAAAATAAAAAAAAATAAATGGAGTATACGGAAAAAATAGGGAAAACATTCATTATCTAAAATTATTTTCATTTGTTTTTCTTTTGAAAAAAAAAAAAGGAATAGAAAAGAAAAAAGAAAAGGAAAAAGAAAATAAATGGAAAATGTAATGATTTTCTTTTTTTTAACCAATATTTAACTTGTACTTTAAATTTAATGAATTTTTTTCTACTTATTTTCCAGTTTAAATAATAAAATTAAATAGTTTTCCCTTTTTTTTTTTTTTTGTTTAAACAAATAATAAATGTTATTAACAAAAAAATATTATTATTATTATTATTATTATTAATAAATATTTAAATACATTTTCTTATTCTCATATTCGTTAGTTTGTAATTTTAAAAATAATAATAATAATAATTAATTTTCTTTTAATTTTGGGTAAAATTTTTTTTCTCCCGTAACAAAAATATTATTATTATTAATCAATAATGATGATAATGATAATGATATTTTAATTTAACTTATAAAGAATGCAAAAAAAGTGTTTTTTCCATAAACCGGATTTTCAGCGGGGAGGGGGGGGAGCTGTTTAAAAAAAACGAAATTTTTTTTTTTTTTGAATGCGTCGATGGTTGCCATCTTATTTGCATAAAACGTTTTGGAAAAAAAAGAAAAATTCGAACGGAATCCATTTTATTATAAATAATAATAATAATAATAATAAAACACGGACTTAATAAGAACTTATTAGTAAATAAGTTTTTTTTCCCTCTTCTCCCTTTTTTTATATAATAATAATAATAATAATATTTTACACTTTATCGCTCTCAACGTTGATTAAAACACTTAAAAAAAAAAAAAAAAATTCTTAATAGCTTTTATTATTATAATCTTGATAAATGAATTAAATAAAGGAAGAGAAAGAAAAAGAGAAAGAGAAAGAGAAAAAATAAAAATGATATTTAATTTTAAAATTAATAGAAAGTAAAAATGATAAAATAAAATCAAATCCAAAATGGCGAAAACTTGTAAATGAATCGAAAAAAAAAAAAAAAAAATGAAAGCGATTTTAAACCGGAACATTCAATATTTTGTCAATCGGATGTAAAAAAAATTAATAATTTAAATAAAATATCAAAAACTAATTTAAATTACTTTTAAATATTACGTAATAATCGAAAAAAAAACCTTTTTTTTATTTATTATAATAATAAATTACGATAATAATAATTTTTTAATAAATTTATTTTATTTAATTTTAAACCGGTCGTCGTCGTCACAATCTAACTAATTGTTAACGTGAAATTATTATTATTATCATTTTGCACCTCGTGCCGTCCGGTTTTTTTTTTTAAATTTGAACAATTTATTAATAATTTTTATTTTTAATAACTTATCTAACGAGTTTTGTTATTACATTCATTCATTCATTCATTCATTCATTCATTCATTCACTAACTCATTCATTCATTTCGATTTTTCCATCACCTCGTATTAAATTATTATTATTATTATTATTATTATTATTATTATTATTATTATTAAAAAATCAAAGTGATAATTATTAACTAGATTATTTTTCTAGTTCTCTAATAATAAGTAACGATAATAATAATTAATTTCGATTATTAAATTAAAAAATAATTATTATTATTATTATTATTATAGTTAAAATTTTTTTTAAAATGTAAATTATTGAAAAGTTTCAAAAAAATCGATCAAATTGATGACGTCATTTTAATAATAATTTAATAACAAAAAAAAGTTTTCGATATGGTTAGTACGTAAGTCGTTAATGCTTATTATTATTATTTTTTTTTATTAACCGTAATTTATTAACTAATGATGATGATGATGATGATGATGATGACGATGTTCTTTTGTTTCTTTTTTGTTTTTTTTTAATTTAAAAAATGACACAACTAAACAACCGTTAGTAATAAATTAATTTATAAAAAAAAAAAAAAAACTACGGGGTGAATTATATAACTGTTTTATCGTAACACAACAATATTGAGAACGATGTGGCCAAGTAAGCAAAACGGTTCCACCGTTATTAATTGTTTAAAAAAAAAAATACTAAAAGGCAAATTTGTTTAAATAAAATAAAAAAAAAAATTATTTTTATTCCTTTCAGGTTAGCCTCATCATTATGTAACTCTGAAAAAAAAATATATAATTTAAATTCCTGTTTTAAATAATTTTGATTTGTTTACTGATTCTTTTCATAACTTATTAAATTTTTATTTGTTATGAATAATGAAAAATATTACATAAATTCGATATGTAATATTAATTTTTAGCAACTCATTAAGAGAAAAAAAAAAAAAAATTAATAAAATTTAAAAATTTTGAGCTTAAAATTTTTATCCTACATAAAAATACATTAAATGAGATACAAAAATATAATAATAATAATAATAATAATATTTTCTATGAAAATTCATGAATAAATATCCAAAAAAAGAAAAAAAAATAAATTAAGTAAAATTTTTTTAAATATAAATATTATCTTACTCTTAACCTTACAACAACAAAAAATTTATTCATCATTCATAAATGAATGAATATTTAAATAAAATATTATTATATATAAAAAAAAAATTAAAAAAATGGTTTCTCTAATTAAAAATATGATTAAATATGAGATGAGTAAAATTTTTTTATATTTTGTAAAAATAACAAGAGCAAAAAAAAAAGTTTTAAAGCTTGCATAGTACAGTAGCTAATTATTTTTCTAATGATTTTAATAATGAAAATTATTACCAAAATCAATCAAAATAATCAATAAAAATAAATATAAAGTTAATAGATATTGAAATTAAATATAATAAAAATAAATTAGTTATAAGTTTTTCTTAACTACTTTTTTATTGCATTTCAATATTCAATATTTGTTATTTGAAAGTAAATATGTCATAATTTAACTATTGAAAACGGTTAAAAGTTATTTTTATATTTATTTAGAATCTATTTACCTATTATTTTATAATATTGATATTTAATAATATAATAATTACTTTAATAAGTAGTTTAAAAAATTTTTTTTTAGTCAACATCATTTATTGTACTTACCCAACAGTGCCAGAAATAAATAAATGAAAAAAATTTTTATTATTCCATTCATTGTTAATAATAATCACTAATTTCACAAAATAAATAAAAGTTTTTTATGTATTATGATAAAATAAAACAAAAACTAAAAAATATTAAATTTTTTAATTTTTTCCAAGTTCATATCTATTACAGATTGAAATTTTTTGACAGTGTATTTTTTCTAATATTTTTAAAAATTCGTTAACGTGAAAAAAATTTAAATTTAAAATATAAATTGATTATTATTAATACGTGTTTAAATTTTTTTTAAAAATTTTTAATTTTAACTAATTTAACAAATAAAGTTTTCCCGATTCTATTTTCTACCGTAAAATGGAATGTTTTCCCTGACATCTTAAATTGACTTGTGCGAACGAAACTAAAATGAAGATGAGAGGGAAAGTAAATCATAGAGTAGCGTTTTTTTTTTTTAAATTTTCATTCTCTATGACATTTAAAACATTATCAGTTTGTTTTGAATTTTTTTGTGAAACGTTTCAAAATGGCGTTCGAAAAAGAAAACATTGTTAATATTTTAATTTCACCGGGTGTGTTTCCGTCGGAATAAAATTTTGAAAAATTAACCGTGCGATCAAAAATACAAATATGCATTCATTTTGATTTTCAGATACGTATTTGGACGATCCCGAACAAATAAATTATGTTAAAAAGGTTACCCAATTCAGCTTGGATAAATTAACTTCGGAACCGGAAAAATTAAATGAGGAAAAAAAACATTTACTTCAAAAAACTCAAGAACTCGCATTTTCAAATTATAAGACGTTTATTCAAAGAGCCGAGTGTTTAAATGAAATACATAAAAAGTTTAATAGTGTTCAACAAAATTTAAGTCAAGTGTCAACAGAGCTTCCCGAATTCAGTAAACGTTGTCAAGAGTTAACAAATATTGCCTTACAAATAGAAACGCATAGAAATTTAAATTCTTTAGTTTTATCTAAAAGTAATGAATTATTAAAAGTTTTAGAATTGCCACAGTTAATGGAAACTTGTATTAAAAATGGTCATTTCGAAGAAGCCTTAGAATTATCTTCGTACATAAGATGGCTTGGGAAAAAACATGGAAATATTGAACTCGTTAAAGTATTTTCAATAATTAATTTTATTAATTATTATATGTTATTGTGGTAAAAATTCTAAAATAAAATTATAAATTTTAGAGTATAGTAAATGATTCTGAGGCATTATGGCAAGTAATGCTTTGCAGATTAATTGCTCAACTTAGAACAGATTTGCAACTTCCAAAATGTTTAGAAATTGTCGGTTTAATTAGAAGAATGGAAGTTTTTTCCGATGCTGAATTAAGATTAAAATTTTTGCAGGGAAGAGATTCATGGTTTCAAAGTTTATTGGCTTCAGTACCCAAATCAGATGGTAATTAATGACTTAGTCATTTATAATACAATGTTTCTTAGTTAAATTATGATTTTCTTTTAATTTTTAAGGTACTCAGTATATTTTAAAAGTAATAGAATTAACCAGAATTCACTTATTCAATATTATGACCCAATATCGAGCAATATTTAGTGATGAAGAAGTAATTGTATCATCAATTAAAATATCGAATGTAAATGAATCGTACATTTTTTACAGCTGGCTGAGTGAAAAAGTGAGCATAATTAAAATTATTTAATTAAATATCATATAAAAAAGAATGTTTAAATTTTCTTTTGTGCTTTTTTATACAGATATCACAATTTTTATCAATTTTGGATAGTCCAGAATTGCAAAAGAACATTTCTTCGTTAGATTCAATAATTGGACAGTCCATGTATTTTGCTCATTCCTTTAGTCGAATCGGTGCAGATTTTAGAGGTTTACTAGCATCGAAATTCATTAAAATCATAGAGCAAAGTTTTGAACTTTCAATATCGAAAATAAATAAAAAATTCAAACAAGAAATGGATAAATTTGCAATACATAAAATATCAACTGTAGGAAAAATCAAACCGAATTTAGAAACAAAACCTGAACAACCTCCTCTGTGTTTAATTGAATTTTATCCACTCGTCGATTACTTAAATGAAATTTTAACCGCTTTTAACGAATTGCGTTCCTGTGCACTGTTATCGACGGCTGATTTCATAGCAAACCTAATTCAAGAATCTTTGAAATTTTGTTCTAAAGTCATACTTTCATATTACAAAATAGAACAGCAAACGTTTGAAAAAACTGAAAAAGAAAAATTTGCAAGATTTTGTGGGGGTTTTCAAATGCTCGTGAATTATCTTCAAAAATGCATTCATTTAGTGTTTCCCTTGCAAGAAGTTGCCAATCATATGGGAATTCCAATTCATCAACTACAAAAAGAAGGAGTCACGTTTATAAATGAATCTGCCATTCTCGAACCCATAAATCATTTATTACCCGTCGAAATTCATTCAGAAATTATAACAGAAGGAGCTTAATAATATAAAATTATTTTTAAATAATTTTTTTTCATCCTCCCCCTTCATCCGAATCCTTTTAATTTTGAATGTGTCAAATCATGATTTTTGTGATATTCTTGCCTTATAGAATTTGTAGTTTAGTGAACGGGCAAAAATATAAACAATAAATTTTTTTAAAAATTAATTAATTATTTACTTTTGAAAGTACATAAACAGATCTTAATATATCAACAATGAACATTATATTAAAAGCGTCGTGTTAACTTATTTTTTTAATCCTTATAGCTATTTTTATTTATTAATACTGCAATATTTTAACTTGCAGTAATTTCATCATTTCCATGCTAATGTTTAATTCTTCCCCTACGGCATTTCTACCCTTTTCGCTTTTTTCACAATAATCGACGACGTATTTAAAACATTCGTAAGATTTCGTCGTGTTTTCTATTTGTTTCCTCTTATCCTGTGTTATGTACTTGTAATAAAGGCGACCCAAATAAAAATGTGCTATCAAAGTGGGTCCGACTAAATCATCTGGAATAATTTCTGGGAGTTCTTGTTTTCTGTTTGGAACAAAAAAAACAAACGATTAAACAACAAATCAAACGACAAATTAATTTAGAAAATAAATTCTCTTACTTTTTATCTTTGACCGAATCTAAAAATTTATTAAAATTTGTTATGCTATTTTCTATGAGAGTATTTATTTTGTTGAAAACTTGTGGAACCGGCGAATCTTGTATCGCTTTTGCTTTTTGAAATTTAACTTGCATAATGTCGTGATAGGTTTCTCCCAATTCGAACCACAGTTGCCTGCAAACATCCAGATAATATTTTGGATTTAATTCTTTGAGAACCGTTTCCAACAGCTCTATCCTTTTCTTCATCATTTTACACTGTCTCTCTTCGTTTTCTTCGAAAGCCGTTAAATGTCTGAACAATTGACTGTGATCTTGTACGACTTGCACGTGATCCGAAGCTCTTTCTTCCAAAGAATAATATTCTTTTGCTTTTTTCAAATGTTTTTGAGTGAATAGAAAAACTTCTCTCGCGTCCTCGAAGAGTATGACGTCAGTGTCGGTTATTTGATTTTCGTATTCGGCCAAGTTCAAATTATCGAACAGCAATTTTTCCAAATTTTTGTCGTCGTCATTTTTCCCTTCCGATTTCCTATCATCCTCGAGACAATTTTTCGAATGTTCCAGTATGAAAATCCCGTATTTGGCCCAGCACCGCGAAATGTCCGAACTCCTGTGTTTGAATTCTTCCTTTTTCGTTTCGATTTCCTCTTGCGAACCCGTCATTGATTTAAGGGATTCTTCGTATTTGTCCATGACGTAAGAAGCGGCTGCCAAATGATGTCTCGCCTGTTTGAACAAAAGTCTTTCCATGAAAAACTGCGACAGAGTCGCGGAATTTAGGGCCCAATCAATCGGATCGTATTCGTTGTATATCAATTGCCTTTGTAATGTTTCGTGACAGTACGTGGCCGACTTTAACAAATCTTTCAAAGCACCGTACACTTGAGCCAGATAAAATTTTGTTAGAGTGTGCACCATTTCTAATTCTTTGACTCCCGTTTCGCTTACACTTTCTTCGAAATGATCGTGGTAGTAGAATGGAATTTTACCCGTCGATTTGAACTCGTTGTAAATTTTCTCCGCTCCTTCTAGCCAACTCTGAGCTTCCGTCGGTTGAGATCTTTGAGACCATAGTATTCCTAATTGATTTCTCACGACTACCGACACGAGAATGAAACGCGGATGAAGGTGATCTAATATGGAATCGTAGCATTCTTTTAATTGTTTTTCACCTTCCGGAATTTCTTCGGTATCGATACAAATAAGTCCTATTTGGTATATCACAACGGCGAGCATGCCCTTGTAGGAAACGTATTGTTCGCCATCTTTTTCCACGTTATCGATGACGTCGAAAAGCAATTCTTTGATTTCTGTTAAAATCGATTTGGCTCGATATTTGGACTTGTAAGGCTCTCTCTCTGGATCATTTTTAAATTCAACTTCTAAGAGATTTCGTACGGTTGAATATTTTTCCTTGATCTTAATTAAAACATCCATTTCTCAACTGAAAAAAAAAAAAAAAAAATTTATGTATATATACATCGAATGAGATTTTTGAATCAAACATTTACACTTTGAAACAACAATTTACTTAATTTCTTTTTTACTTTTCCTAAAAATAATTTTGCTAAAAAAAAAACTTAGCACACTGTTTAATTAACCTTTAACTGAATACTTAACACTGGTTAAAAAAAAATTTAATAAATCACTGTAAATTTTATTTAAAAATCATTTCCATCAATTTCACTCAAGAACTTTAGTTTTAAAACTTATGAATTTTGACATTTTTTCGATCTTTGTTTATTTTATAATGAGTTAAATTTAAAAATCCATCGCTTAAAAAGAAAAAAAAAAAATCAATTTTAATCAATGCCATCATTGTAAGATTTATTTATGGCATAAAATTTATTTTAACAGAGATTCATTAGCCACACTAATATTGAGAAATACATTTTTTTTTAATTGCTCCATTTACTCTTAAAATCCCTTCCTTCTTCTTCTAATAAATTAACCTTTGTGTAAATTTTTTTTTTTGCATAATTTATTTTCACTTTATTTGTATTACATTTTTAAATCCAAATAATTCGAATTTAAAAAATTTTTATACTTGAAATAATACTCGCACTAATGTTTTAGAATTTTAGTCGTTTTACAATCGAATACACTTCAAATAATAATAAATTTTGTAAATGAAGTTATCTTTACTAACCAGGTAACAAACACACAAAGGTTTAAATTTTCAATTAAAAAAAAAAAAAAAATGAATAAAACAAAATTTTACTAAAGAGCAAATCGAGGGGAAAAATACTTAAAACAAATATTACATGTTTTAAAATTAGACATAAATAACTTTAATTTTGTACTTTGATTTTATACTGTGAAATAAAAAAATTTCTTCTAAGATTTAAAAAAAAATAATAATAATAACAATTAGATTTTTGATTTTTTTTTTGTAAAAACTATAAAATATTATCTAAACATATTTCCATTTTCACAAATAACAAAATTAAAGCTAAAAACTTCAAATATTGTACACTTATAAAAAAAAAAAAAAATTTTAAAAAAGAAATAAATAAATAAAAAATTCACCCGAATTATTATTTGCCAAATATAATATTAATCGTTTTTTAATTTTATTAAAAAAAAAAATCAAAAAAGTTTTGTATCGTTTGTCGGTTGATAGGATTCGAATAAATTGTTATTCGTTTCATCTGGCGTATCAATGCCAAACGGAAACGCCGTGCCACCAGATTCAAAATCACCTAAAACCCCGTGACCCAATATTTCGCTAAACTGATACAACCGTTTATGCACGTCGGCAACAGCCTCCATTTTGTGAAGTGAATAATCCGCGAAATTCGTAAAACAATTCTCCGGAAGTTTCGAATCGTCTTCTTTCGGCGGTTCCGGTTGGGATAAATATAATCGTCGAAGATTTAATCCCATTAATTCCAAGTGTATTTCCGCCAATTCTCTAAAAATTTCAATGCTGATCGCGATATAACTCTGTGGTCGAACTTCTTTCAAGACAGCACTTAGAGTTTCCAAAGTATCCGCTCGCTTTTTTTGCACAGAATATTGACTACAATATTGATACAATAAGTGGTCATTAATTATCGTGTGGCTTGATGGGACGCCAAATAATGTTTTTTTTGCGTCAAGTAATGTAATTTTAAATTTTTAAATTTTTCACTTACTTTTCTATTTCATCTTCATAAAAAGCTAGGTACCGGTACAATTCGCTTAGATCTAAAATGACATTTACATATTCCATCGGATGATCTTTTATCGTGTAAAATAATTTAGATTTTTTTAACCAAGAATGAGTAAATAAAAATAATGCTCTTGCTGACTGCACGCCATCAACATAATTACACGACACACAATTTTCAAAGCAATTTAAATCTAAATTTAAAAATTTATATTGCAAATCATTCGATTCTGGTAGTTTTTGATCATATCTTTCTCCCTCATTTTTATCTTCTTTCGATGTACTTTCCGATGAATTTATCGATTGATTGGTTTCCAGTCCAGTTTTACCTATAGAAATATTTGACGAGTTAACCTGATTAGAATTTTCAAAAATAACATCAAAAACCAGAGGCGATGGAACTGGTATAGAATCATTTTTCGATATTATGTTTTCAGTTGCATCTTTCACTGTATTTATATCATTTAAATTTGTCGTTCCAAAACTGTTATGAAGTTGTTCTTTATAATTTTTAAAATCTGAGCCCTGCCAAACTCCATTATCCTCGTTTTCTTCTGTTCCACTACTCCCGTAAAAAAAATTATCAAATGAATTTGCCCATGTGTTATCTAGATATGTTGATGAGTCGCCATAAAAAGCAGAAACTAATTTCATTTTGGATGCATTGAAAAGAAACAAACCATATCTAACCCAACATTTAGCTATATCAGCATATCTGTGATTCAATTCATCCCATCTAAAAAATGTCAAACTCTCGAGTAAAAGTTACATTTTCACTATTTGTACTGAAGCTTAATTGATTATACGTACTTTGAAAGAACTAGATTTGATGTTTCTAATGTTTTCAAAGTATTTTCATACTGACTAAGAACATAACATGCAGCAGCCAAATGATGACGAGCTTGAGCAAATTTATTTCTGGTTAAAAAAAAATAACCAAGTCTGGCTGTTTTCATCGCCCACACGGTTGCATCCCCTTCTCTCATATCTAACTGCCTTTTAAGAACTTGATGATGATATGCAGCAAACTTATCCAAATCTCCTTGCTTATTGTGCACAAAACCAAGCATTTGAAGGTTATTTGTGACCAATTTTTCTAATTTTTCATTAATTTCTTTGTTCGGAGTTAATTCCAATTTATTATCGAATAAATCGTCATTACTAAACAATGGCAATGTGTTTACATCTCCCAGTTCTTTAAGTTGTAAGTATTTTGCTTCGGCAAATTCCAATAATTCCTGAGATGTACTCAAATCTCCAGATTTTGTAAGTAAGTAACAATAATGATTTAAAACTCTCAATCCGAGAAAAGTTACTTCTGGAATTAGTATTGAGTCTTTTAGAAAATCAATGCATGTTTTTAATATATCTTGTGCAACTTTTGTCTCATTCAATTGAACCAATACTTTGGCATGCTGATAAAATAAAGCTCCTTGCATGGCCAACAATCTATTGTATTCCGCACTATTTTTGCTCACTTTATTAATGCAGCTGTTAATAGTGTTTAACATATTTGTGAGAACTTCTTTTGCTGGGCTGTGATCCCATCCAGGCTCTGATTCAGTGCCCATTTTATCAGATTTGATGCTACTTTTAAATGACTCATACTGTTCGTGTAACCTTTCAACGGTACTCAATTCCATTTTATTTACTACTATTATTGTTACTAATTATTGTGGAGGTATAATAACAAAAAATACATAAAAGAAGGATTCGGGGCATAAAAGGTCTCTGGCACTAAAACGGTTAGTTTAAAAAAAAGGTTTCCATATAATCTACAAAACACAATTAAATACAATAAACTAATATAAAAGTGAAAAGTATTTTTACATGTAGGGAACGAAAAAAAATTTTTTTTTTTGTCAATTTTAAAATAAATAATTATTATGAAAAAAAAAAAAAAAAAAAAAAAAAGAAAAGAAAAGAAACAAACCTGAATAAAAAAATTTTAAATATCTAGTAATATACGCATTTGAAAGATAGTTTTCATACTTTTGCTTTTGAACGTATTGTATTATTAAAATTTCGATTCATATTTTTTTCTCTATAAAAAAAATCACTGCAACAAAAATGTAATAAATTACAATTACCTTTTATACATTAGATGTTCAGATTTTTTTAAAAAAACAAATCACAACATGGCGCCAACTTAATCAATAACTATGAGTAAGGAATTTTTGTCGCCAAACCGTTAAAAAAAAAAAAAAATACTGTAATTGTATGCGAGTCTTTATTTAAGACTTAATAAAATTATTTATTTTATTATATTTTAAAGTAATTTTAATTCTCTGGGTTTGGAAAATATTTTTTAAAATAGTTTTTATTACATTAAATAAAATTTTTATCTTATTTCATAACTTCCTTCTGATTAATTACCAGACTTATTTTTTCTTTGTTACCACAAAAATTTACAAGCATTAAAAAATGCAGATTTACTTCAAATAATAAGCAATTCTTTTTTTTTTTTGTATATACCCTACCAAATATTATTTTGTAAACAAAAAAGTTTTATAAAATTCTTCAAAAATTAATTTAAGTGAATAAAAAACATTTGTGTACTTTGATAAAAAATTAATCACAAAATGAATTTATTATTAATATCTTACTATCCAGTAATAAAAATTATATTTATAAAACTTTTCATTTTGAAAATAAAATTTTATTTCTTGTTTTTAAAATCCTTTTATAAAATCCTGTTTCATATTTAAGTTTAATTTAATAACTTTAATAAAATATTCTTTTTTAAAAATTTATAATAAATTTGTAAAATTAAACGTAAACCATTTAAGTAGTTCAAAAGTTGTATAAAAGTTTAATAAATCAACTTTTTATTTTCTTATAAAATTTTTAAATACACAACCATTAAGGCTTTTATTTTGCTAAGCTTCATATATTTCTAAAAAAATAAAATTTGTCATTAGAATAAATATGTATACAAGGTTATTTATTGTAATAAAGTATGAAGCCAGCATTACAATATTTAAAAAAGAAAACAAATTATAATTTTTTTTTTCAAAACACAAAAATATTATTGTAAAAATCATTTTAAAAGATAAAATAAACATAAATGGTTTGTTTTTTTTTTTTTTTTTTTTTTTTTTTACATTTAATTAAAAAGTTTATCGTTACAATAAATAAAAGCCATTATTATTTCATTTTTCGAAAAATAATTTATAAAGTTTAAATCGAAAAGATATTATTATTTAATCATTTAAATATTTAGCAACAAACACTTTGAGATGACCAACTTAATTCAGATAAAATGATTATGTATGTATTGTAGTAGTGTAATGTACTTATTAAAAAATAAAAAAAAAATTGCTTCACAGAAGTATTAGAAAATAATTATGTCCGATCAGAGGAGAAAAAAAAAGAAAATAAAATTGTAGAATTATCATTAATAACTTATTACAAGAATTCTTCGCACCAATCGGAAAGACACTGGTAGCAATCTGTTGCTTGTTTAGTGTTTGCATTAATAATATCTTTCATCCAATCTACAAATATTTCTTGGTCCTTTTTTAAAACTAAAAATTGTCCAAGAACAACATATGCCTGTAAATAAAAATTTGTATATATCATTGTAAGGAACAATTAATTCTAAAAAAGGTACTGTTTGAAATGTACAGTAAATACATACCTTATCGAATCCTTTACTTTCAAATCTTTTACCTAAAACTTCCCCAATGCCAGCCAAATCCGTCACTGGCTTATCTCCCATAGGTTCTGCTATAAAATTACGATGCTTTTGTGATGTAGTACTCATTTTGCTACTTTTACTTGTTACAAATAATCCCTATAAAATAAAAAGATAAAATTTAAATCTAAAATTGCAATATTAGAAAAGAGAAAAATATTCAAATATCACGTCACTAATTTCTATATAATAATGGAAAGCGTTTTGTTTATTTCTTGGTAATAACGGTCAGGAATAAGCCTGACGGTTTAGGTTATGTTTTTTTTTGCTTACTAGTTGTAATTTATAAGAAAATTCAGAAAAACAAATAAAATATATTAAATTATTTTAGATATATTTAGAATAAATAATTTTTTATTTTTAACCGCCAAAATAATATTGTGCAATCGTTTTCAATAGGAAAAAAATGTCATGCAGTTAGCGTTAAGCGGTGAAGCGTCGAAAACATTACAAGATTATTTATTTTAAATTAAATATTAAAAATTATTGAAAATTTTGTATTTAAAAAAAAAAATAATATTTACGTTTAAAAACAAAAAACACGTTAAAATAGGAAAATACGAGAACGGACAATTAAATAAAAAGAAAATTACTTTTATGAAAATAAAACTTATAAGTGCTACCAACCTTAAAAATTTGTAAAATGCAGAAAAAACGTTGTAATCAGTGGGCAAAAAATGTTTTAATCATAAAAAAAAACTGAGTAACTCATTCTTAATATATGAAAAATTATTAAAAATTTATCCGTTATTTAAAATATAAATATAAATAATACTTACCTGTAAGAAAAATTTACAACGGTAGGACAATCGAAAAGTACTACTATTAAAACAAAACTTAAAATTGTTAAACTTGCGTCAAAAAAAATTATTAATATAACAATAAGTTAAGAAATCCAAAACAGCAAATAACAATAACTCATAGCACGTCGTTAAAATATTAAATTTAAAATATGTGAACGTTAAACACCAATAATTATGTATAATGGTGAAAAAAAAAAAAATATTCCTAAACAAAACTATTCATTCTATTTTTAAAAAATTCAACAAATGCAACAAATCAAAAATAATTTGTTTATGCACTATGAAGGAATAAATAAATAAATGCATAAAAAACGATAAGAATTTTATAAATAAAAAACAAAGGTGAATAAAGGATTTTGTAATTAAAGAAGAAGAGCGAGTTCCAACCCAGGGGTAGAACAAAATGACCTCAAGTGACAAAAGAATTATGATGACAATGTTTTTTTCAGAAAAATAACAATCAAAGATTTTTGAATATTTAAGTACAAAAATTATAATTTTAGCATTGAACACAAACACATATATATATATGTATACTATTAAAAATTGAAATGAATTTTTAATATTGTTTCAAGTATTAAAATATCTTATTGTCACTATAAAAAAAAAAATTAAATTTTAGGAAACTGAAGATATTGCATTGTGAGGAGATCCCATTTGTGTTAATACTTTATCTAGCCATTGCAACGGTCCGTGTAAATGAATTTCGATCCAACAAGGAGTGCTAGTGACGTCTTGCCTGTGATACTCAGCACCCCATCCTTTTACGAAAGACATTCTAAAAATTAAATTCTCGATTAGAAAACAATTTACTTAAACAACCATGTTAGTCAATCCCCTATCTTGAATGCATTAGATGTAAATTTGATATCAACAAAAAGATTACGAATGATTATAAATTACCGAATTGTACACATTTTAGTTAATTCATAAACAGCTTCGAAACCATGATTAACAGACTGAGATAGGAGTTGTGCAAATTCTTGATTATTAAATATTTTAAGTGAACAACTTGATGGTATTTTACAAACAGTACTAGGATGAAATCCATGATGATGATTGCAATTTCTAGATTGAACAAATATTGCAGAATCTGACAAACATTCCGCATAGACTTCTCCTCCGACATAATATAAATGAACTCCTTGGAAAATAAAAATAAAAATTATGTAGACTACTAAACAGAGCTTTGATAAATCAAATTATTTAAATACGATTAAGTACTAACCTTTTCCAATATGCCTTCTAGTATTTTCGATTGTTGAATTTCTATTAACATTGCTTAATTGCCCCAGGCAAAAACGGTCGGAATTATTACTTGGATTTGTGAAACCGTCAACTATTACAGAATGACTCTGACAATGAAAAAACTCTCCAACTCTACAATTTAATTCATAACATGCAATACTGGCCCAATAAAGAGGTTCCTGGTATGACACTGGAGCAACTTCAGGCATGGATGTATCCATAGCAGAAGGATCATTAGGGGTTGAGGGATCATGCTTTGAATCTTCAGTTGGGGTGTATGCTGGAGGAGGAGTTCCGGGTAAACCATTACTTGTGTATGGACTCTGAGGATTTGAAGTCATGCATCCAGGACTAGGAGCAGAACCGACACTTGACATGGGACTCTGAGGACCACCAGCAAATCCTCCAGCAGAATATGACACATTGTGAGGCATTGCAGGTTCTGCAAGTTGTTGAAAAGGCAAAAGACTGTGTCCTGGAGCAAATTCGGAATGGCGAGGCACCAAAACAGGCGGCAAGACTGGGCTTTCAACCCTTTTGTAATGATAAGGATTTATACAGACTTCTTTTTGCTTTGCTGAAAATGGAAATTGACAAAGTTCTAGGGGTTTTAATTCATGATGTGATTGTAAGTCTGGCCATCGCCACACTCTGCAGTAGATTACATGTGGTAAGCCTTTTCTATGTGACACCTTAGGTAATAAATTAAAAAAAAAAAAAAAAAACAAAATAATAATAATAATTTGTAAAACAAACTTGCATATGTTTTAAAAATTTATAAATCAGTTATTGAGTATTTTCATTCATTCAAATATAAATTTTAATTACATTGAAAAGAAATTAGAGATATGGGATGTAACTCGGAAAATATCAAACTTGAAAAACGAATTGCATAAAGTGAAATTTTACCTGCAGCCTTCCATCCAAGCTCCTGGGTATTGTTACACATTTACTAGGTTGTCCTGGGTAACATAAAGCTCTTTCCAAGTCTTCTATGGCACCCTTCCGCTTCTTAAGCTTTTTTACCAATGAATCAACAGCCTTTTCAGCCCATTTTTCTTCTTCGTCTCCTTGCTTCCATCCCAATAGTTTTTTCACAGCGGGACTGGTAAAAGAAAATAAGCTGTTGAGTGAAGAAATCGGACCGGAACTGCTCTCTCCTTTTTCACCTTCCATTTTCAAACTTAAAATGGGTAAAGAAAACTTAGGTTGACTTTTTAAAACTTGCAAAGATAAATTTGCAAATTTTACAAAATTATTGTAAAGCAAATCCAAATATTGTATAATGCATTGCCAATAACTTACGTTTTGCGTTTAAACGAATTTTGTTATTTATTTAGTTCAATTTTTCTTATATCAAACGCAGAGACCATTTACCATTAGCTAATTAACAGAACGCTTCTGTTTACTGGCGACTGCCAGGCTGGAACCCCATAACTTCCAATTTTAATCTCCGCTATTCTTTATTATGAATTATTGTTAAACATACGCAATGTTTTTCAAAAATTTTTTCTTCAACAATTGCAAAATTGCACATGTTATTTTATTGCACTTGAAAAATGTTTTAAAATACTTTTAACAAATCTACCAAAATAAAAATTTCAAACGTAACGTTTGAACCGCCCTAAAGCGTAGGAATACAAATACAAAATTACCTTAGCTCATGCGGCCTTCTTGATTATATCTCACAGAGCATTGATCGATTTAAAATTTACATGGAGTATACATTTTAGAAATGAAGAATGGAATTGCT